AGCTGGGGGTGGTGAAGGCCAACAAGGAGCTCTGGTGTGGACTGGTCCATGAAGTCATGAAGAGTCGGAAATGACTGAACGAATGAACAACACTTGGTACTGGGTGGTGGTCTCCCATCCAAGTACTAACCAGAGCTGATGTTGTTTAACTTTCAAGAAAAGGATGGCATAAAATCTTGCCCTTCCCAGTTGTTTTTTATTTGTTCAGTCACTTCTGACTATTCGTGACCTCATGGACCAGCCCACGCAAGAGCTTCCTGTCAGTGTCACCATCCCCAGCTCCTTCAAGGTCAAGGCAGTAACTTCAAGGATACCATCCATCCATCTTGCCCTTGGTTGGCCCCTCTTCCTTTTACCTTCCATTTTCCCCAGCATCATTATCTTCTCCAAGTTTTCCTGTCTTCTCATTATGTGACCAAAGTACTTCATCTTTGACTCTAATATCCTTCCCTCCAGGCATTATTTCCTGGAGTATGGACTGGTTTGATCCTCTTGGGGTCCAAGATTTCACTCGTGGCATCATCGAAGCACTCAACTTCCAGCACTATGATAAAGCAATGATCCTTTGCTGGAGGCCCTTCCCAGTAGATTCAGGCAAAAGCAAACCACTGCAGTCTCTCCTAGCTTGTGTGTTCTTCTTCATTAATAACTTTTGCCATAGTGCCCACATTCTAATACATGGCCATAAATGTCCCACTTTTCTACAGCTAAAAAGGCCATACGTAGCCATTTTTCAGGATCCAGTCTAGTGTGTATGTAACATGAAATTCAAGTGACAAAGAAGGTTCAGCTTTCTCATTGCATAGTTGTCTTCATTACGTTATCACGTTTCCAATAAAAGAACTCTGCTGCCACCTTTTGTCCATGGAAAGACATAGAAAATTTCAAGAGACGTGAGGGGGCGGAAAGCAATTGTTTCTCCAGAGAACTGAAGGTGGTTTAAATGAGAGATTCCTGCTTGTATGTCTATACTCCTCCATGTTTGTTTCCAGTAAACAAGATTGACAGGGTTTTGCAATAAAAAAGAAATGCATTTATACACCATGATTCTCTCAAAACAACTCTCTTGAAAGCTATTATTTGTCTCCTAGCTCAATCCCTAAGAGAAAAACATTTGAGCAGTTCTAACAATCTTACTCATACGTTGCACATCCTCCTAGGAGTCCTTTAATGCTACATATTCAAAGTACTGGTTTTATGTTCAGTCCCTTTCTCCCTAGCCAGCAATTTTTGAAGTTTTTATTCAGAAGGCATTTTAAAATGTTCTGCTGCTATAAGAACTAGAATTTTGGTCACCCCATTCAATTCTTCCAACACCAAAACAAGATTCACAATAACTTTGAACATCATGCATAAGGAAAAGTTTGCACAATGTAGTTTCCACTAACCAGTATAGGAGACCTAATTGGGCTTTTTAAGTTTAAAACAAATTTGGTTGGGTCCAGACTTAGGGTGCAGCTACACTTTAGAATTAATTCAGTTTGACACCCCTTGAACTGCCATGGTTCAGTGCTATGGAATCACGGAAGCTTCAGTTTCACAAGGTCATTAGCCTTTGCTGACAAAGAGTAATGGTAACTCAACAAACTGCAAATCCCAGGATTCCATGCATTGAGCCATGGAAACTCAAGTGGTGTCAGACTGCATTAATTCTACAGTGTAAATACATCCTTAGTATATAGAACTCAAATATGCTGATGCCAACGTCGTCTGTGCACATTCAGAAGACGACCTACAAGCCACTCTAAAAACCTTCGCAGAAACATGCAAGAAGCTCAGCCTGTCATTGAACATCAAGAAAACCGAAGTGCTCTTCTAGCAGTCACCAGCCAATCCCTCTCCAATGCCAGAAATACAGCTTAATGGTGTAACATTAGAAAATGTTGACCATTTCCGCTATCTTGGCAGCCACCTCTCCACAAAAGTCAATATTGACAATTAAAGACAACACCACCTGAGCTCTGTGAGTGCAGCATTTTTCTGAATGAAGCACAGAGTGTTTGAGGACTGAGACATCCGTAGGGATACCAAGGTGCTTGTTCATAAAGCTATTGTCCTCCCAACTCTGCTATACGCCTGCAAGATGTGGACTGTCTACAGACGTCACTTGCAACTCCTAGAACAATTCCATCAGTGTTGCCTCTGAAAAATCCTGCAAATCTCTTGGGAAGACAAGCAGAAAAATGTCAGCATGATGGAAGAAGCAAAGACCACCAGTATTGAAGCGATGGTCCTCCGCAGTCAACTCAATTTCAGTGCAGCTTACTTCCAGTTAAGTTTCATAGGATTGCAGCCTTAAATACTATTACGACCCATTTAACTAAGCATGACTTATAAATGCTAACACTGGCATTTTTTTTAATCGGGTTGGTTCATTTGTTTCATTGCAACCTTGGTGCACTTCAGCCTACCATGATAACTTTTAAAATCACCACTTTCTTCTCCTTTGTCTTGATCTGTTGGTAGGAACACGTGAGAGTTATCTCTATGTTGTCACAAGCTTTACCTACTTAATTCTGTGCAACCAAAATCAAGCTGCTGTATGGGCTGTAAAAGCAGGAGGAGATGGTGCAGTTGGTTGGCTTCCATATTTCTGGATTAACTTGTGGTCTTCCCATTCACAAATGGATGGCTTCTACCTTTGGGGCTATTGGGTAGACATCCATTTAGATCCCAAGTGTTCTTGTGTTATGATCAAATACAATGGTCCCAAACCATGGGAGCTGGTTCTGTTAATAGCAGAAAGATTATATCTCCATAAAACACTGCTTGGGTTCCTTTGTGTACTTTATTCCTCATTGCTTCATTTCCCCGTGTTCTTTTTTCCACGAAGGAGACAAAATGCATCATGTAATGGGTAAAAGTGTAAGTAGTAAATCAGCAAATCTCGTGCTCAGATTAAACCTCGGGCATGAACTTTAAGCAGATAGCTGTTATCTCAATCTCTAGCGTGCAATGCAGAAATAACACTAGCCTACCTGTTTCGTACTGTTGTTAGGATGACAGAAATAAGATAAGAGACTGAAATTTTAAAATATAATGATGAACTTTATTTAGTTGTTCTTAGAAAATAGAATTACATTTACCCAAAGGTTGCTGGGAAGGACAAGGTTCACCTCTCTCCTCTCACCTATCCTCTACTGAATTAATTAGATGCAAATTAGCTCAATTTGCAACAATAGAAATAAGCTGAGGACAAAGGGGTAAAGGAGGAGAGAGAAACTGAAACATATTAAAAGCAGCAGAAAAGTGGAGCAGCAGAGGATTAATCCAGACTCTTCCTGACAATGTTAGCATATATAGGATAGAGATACAGTCCACCATGGTGTTATGAAGAGATACATTTGAATTCGCTCTCCTAAATGTTACTCAAGGCCTCCTAGTAGCACAGTGGTTAAATAATAATAATAATAATAATAATAATAATAATAATAATAATAATAATCTTTATTTATACTCTGCCACCATCTCCCCAATGGGGACTCGGGGCGGCTAACATGAGGCCGAGCCCAAATATAATACAACAAAATAATATACAAGACAATAAAACATAAATACAACAAATACATAATACATCAAAATAAAATAAACAATGCAAAAACATAATAAAAGCAGACACAATGGGTGGGCCAAATGTGCAAGATAAAATGCTAAAAACATTAAAACCTGGGTGAGATAGGAAGTAGAAAAGGTGTATTTGTAACGGAGGAGTCTGAGACAGGGGTGCTGTGGCGCTGAGCTGCCGAACTGAAAGGTTAGTGGTTTGAATCCGGGAGTGTGGTGAGCTCCCGCTGTTAGCCCCAGCTTCTGCCAACCTAGCAGTTTGTAAACAGGCAAATATAAATATAAATAGTTCATTAGGTACCACTCCTGAGGCAAAATAATGATGCTCCATGCAGTCATGCTGGCCACATGACCTAGGAGGTGCCTACGGACAACGTCGGCTCTTCGGCTCAGAAATGAAGATGAGTACTACCCCTCAGAGTAAGACTCATCTAGACTTAATGCCAAGGGGAAACCTTTACCTTTATAATATCTGTTAGATTTATCTGCCAAGTATATATTTAATTACTTAATCACAAATTGGCAATAGTATGATAGCTGGGACCCTATGCTATGCTGGTTGCGCAATACGGGTCTGAATTAGGGGAACACGTGCGCGAGTGAGCACACTGAGTGAGACGCAGCTGCAGTGGAGTTGTTGCAATGGAAGGAAGGATAAAAAGGAGGGAGGAAATACAACCAATCTTTTGGCACAGATAGCTCATTTCTATCCTGTTTAAGGTCTTTGTAAGCTGCTGTTTATCATTTAACATTAAATAACTGTTACACTACCTCACTCTTCTCCCGTTGCACGTGAGTTAAATTACTTCACTGCTGTCCTCTCCCAACTCCATCTCTCACTCGCTCTGCTCACTCGCACACGTGTTCCCTTCATTAATTCAGACCCGTGTTGCGCAACTAGCATAGGATCCCAGCTCTCATTCTATTGCCCACAAATCTTCCAGTATAATGAGCTTTGTAATTACTCATTTGCCAGTTCTAGTGAAAGGACTGCTAAATGTGACATTTTATATGAGATTTCTTAAAATAATGTTAATGTAATACATTCTCACATTTCTAGCATTCAGGCTGCGAGTGCTATGTATCGCAAATGTGAGTAGATCAATAGGAACCACTTCTACAGGAAGATAACGATGTTCCATGCAGTCATTCTGGCCACATGATCTTGGAGGTGTCTATGGACAACACTGGCTCTTTGGCTTAGAAATGGAGATGAGCACCACCCACCGGAGTTGGACACGATTAGACTTAATGTCAGGGGAAACCTTTACCTTTTACCTTTACCTAAATGTTACTCACCAGTGAGGGTGGTTGCATCGTGTTGGTTTTGCGGCCCATCCGGGTTTGAGGCAGATAGTGTTGACTCTTGCTTGACAAGGAAAAATGGCTGGCTGTTCACAGAAAGGCTCTGGCCTACGTGTAGCTGTTCCAATGCTGATGTGTCCAGTTTGGCTGGTGTCACAGGGGGGATATAGCTACCATGTAGAACTGGAACGCAGCACCAAGGCTGGGTAGTAGAGGATGACACAGAGGTCTACTCCACACCTGTGGAAAGATATTATTATTATTATTATTATTATTATTATTATTATTATTATCTTTATTTGTACCCCGCTAGCATCTCCCGAAGGACTCGAACACAACATAACAATACAGAACCTAAAGCAAATTAAAAACCATTAAAGCAATATTAAACAACAAGCAATAAACAATACACTAAAACACAATAAAACTGGGCCGGGCCAGAGTAATGGGTACAGAATTAAAAGTGCTGATGTGACAGGTGGTATATAAGGATTATAGGGTAAGTGCAGTGTGCGGCAATCTTAATTCTAATAAAGTGCTTCTGGGACTTGGTATTGGAGTTTTCCTATTCTGGAAAGGTACATCGAAACAGCCAGGTCTTCAAGTTCTTTCTAAAGACTGCCAATGTAGATCTTTGGGGAGGGTGTTCCAGTGTCGGGGGGCCACCACAGAAAAGGTCCTGTCTCGCGTCCCCATCAAACGCATCTGCAACGCAGGCGGAATCACAAGCAGGGCCTCTCAGGATGAACGAAGTACACACGCGGGTTCATAAACGGAGATGCGGTCACACAGGTAGGATGGTCCCAAACCGTTTAGGGCTTTGTAGGTAAGCACCTGCACCTTAAATTGGATTAGGAAGGCAGGATGGTTGAAAGCTGTGACAGCACCAAGGTTTTAAAAAATCTATGCTAAAATCCATTGAAAAACATTCTTAGGAGTGGGTTGTTGTAGGTTTTTCCGGGCTATATGGCCATGTTCTAGAAGCATTCTCTCCTGATGTTTCACCTCTGAGGATGCTTGCCATACATGCAGGCAAAACGTCAGGAGAGAATGCTTCTAGAACATGGTCACATAGCCCGAAAAACCTACAACACAGTGATTCCAGCCATGAAAGCCTTCGACAATACATTCTTAGGAGTCTATGTTGTCCTTGATCCAGAGTTTGGGAAAAATACTATTTTGCACTACAACGCCAGCTTATCTGACCATATTGGTTGGAGATATCCTTCCAAACACAAAAAATAAACAGACAAGCAAACAAGACCTAAAATACAATCCAAACTCTTTGCAATCTCCTTCCCATCTGTTATTAAGGAGGCTGTCCAGACCTTGAATCGGTGCTTGGCTGCTGTGTCAGACTGGATGAGGGCTAACAAATTGAAACTGAATCCTGACAAGACAGAGGTCCTCCTGGTCAATCGAAAGGCCAAACAGGGCATAGGGTTACAACCTGTGTTGGATGGGGTTACACTCCCCCTGAAGACGCAGGTTCACAGCTTGGGAGCGATCCTGGACTCATCGCTGAGCCTGGAACCCCAGGTTTCAGCGGTTGCCAGGGGAGCTTTTGCACAGTTTAGACTTATGCGCCAGCTGCACCCGTACCTTGGGAAGTCTGATCTGGCCACGGTGGTCCACGCTCTGGTCACATCCCGAATAGATTACTGCAACACACTCTACGTGGGGCTGCCTTTGGAGACGGTTCGGAAACTGCAGTTAGTCCAACGGGCGGCAGCCAGATTACTAACAGGAACTACATACAGGGAACATACCACCCCCTTGTTGTGTCAGCTCCACTGGCTGCCTGTCCACTTCCGAGCTCAATTCAAAGTGCTGGTTTTGACCTATAAAGCTCTGTACAGTTCCAGCCCAGCTTACTTGTCCGAACGCATCTGCCTCTACGTCCCACCTTGTAACTTAAGATCATCCGGGGAGGCCCTCTCTCGCTCCCACCAACATCGCAAACGCGGCTGGCGGGGACGAGAGACAGGGCCTTCTCGGCTGTAGCCCCCCGCCTGTGGAATTTGCTTCCAAATGAATTACCATCGACTCCATCCCTCCTGGCGTTCAGGAAGAAATTAAAATCTTGGTTTTGGGACTAGGATTTTGGACAATAAACATAAAGCAGCACTTTGACTGGAAATAGACTGGCAAGATGACATGTATGAGGATACGGTTTTATTGTTCTATCAGTGAGTTTGTGGACTGCGTATTGTTTTAATGATTGTTTTAATGACTGTTATGATAATTTGGTTAATTAATTACTATTGTTTTAACTCTGTATGTTTTTATGGTTTTATACTGGGTTATTGATTGTGGCATTGAATTGTTGCCTTTGTTAGCCATTCTGAGTCGTCCCCACCCCCCGGGGGTTGAGAAGAGCGGGGTAAAAATGCTATAAATAAATAAATAAATAAATAAATAAATAAATAAACTTCTATCTATCCATTCCATTTCTCTAACCCACACAGTCTTATTTATGTCTTAGAACTGAATACGAGGTCTTGGAAAATTGAGCAGCAAGTAACTTATGTTCCTTCACCCACCAGGAACTTAATCCTTAAGCATCATCCACTGCTGGCAGATAACTGCAATTAAAAAAAACCAAGGACTTTTTTGTCCATATGGTCTCAGAAAGTGATACAGGATCCGCTATTCTGCCAGGTCTTGAAAGGCTAGAAATCTAATTACTTTCTCCTTCTGGTATATCTGGCAGCACTTCTGATGTTGGGGCAGCAGGAAAAAGAACACTTGAGTTGCTTCAGTTTTTTCCCGCAAGCGAGGGATGAGTACGACAAGCATGGCAGATATTGACAATTGGTGATTTTATTACTGGGCATATTCTGGGTTTACAACACTAACAGCTGACAAGTCACAACGCAGAGAAGGTGTGTGAGGACACGTAAAACCTCACGTACTAACTGAGTTGTGCCAGGTGGCATGTCTGGAGGAAGATGGACTTTGCACCGTAGGTCACAAGTTTCCTCGGATTGTGGCATCATAGTTTCAATCACAATATGGGAAGAGTAGGAAGAATGAGCCAGTAGGAAAAAATTTGATCTTGTTTCAGTTGTATCATTCTGTCCCTTTTCTGTTTCCCTTTTCTGTGCCACATCCAAATTCTGGAAATTGTGCTTTTTGTTTTTAGACTGGCTATATGGGCTGCAGGATTTTTTGGGAGTTATAGACCAAAACGCAACTTTGCTCATCTCTAGTTATGTAAACATGGGCTCAAACTATATATGACATGGAATTGAACACATGATTTTGCATTTTATGTCTCTCCTATTGAGAAAGGTAAATATAGTACCACTCCTATATCAAGTGGACTTCACCTGGCTATGCAAAACCATAGATAGTAGTGACATTTATTGTTTTCAAGGGACAAATGACAGAGGTACCAAGAAAAAGGTGTAAGTGGTACAGGAAGCCCTAAGGGAATAAGTGAAATTGTGGTTACATGAAACCACATATATTTGGTGATGGCAGCCTGAGCAGCAGCACAAGTAGAAATGAATGGTTTATAAACTGGGTTGTTGTTAGTTTTCCAGGATGTATGGCCATGTTCTAGAAGCATTCTCTCCTGACATTTCGCCCACATCTATGGCAAGCATCCTCAGAGGTTGTGAGGTCTCACAAGACTCAATCAAGGCCTTATTGTTCAAAAGGATTAAAATATCATTGGTTACATTAACAATTCTAATATCCATATCCACCGGGGCCATAGTGGCACACAAGGTTAAACCGCTGAGCTATGGAACTTGTCAGTTCGAATCCATGGAGCGGCATGCACTCCCATCGTTAGCCCCAGCTTCTGCCAACCTAGCAGTTCTAAAACAGGCAAATATGAGCAGATCAGTAGGCAAAGTAATTATGTTCCATGCAGTCATGCTAGCCACATGACCTAGGAGGTGCCTACGGACTACGCCAACTCTTCGGCTTAGAAATGGAGATGAGCATCACCCCTCAGAGTCAGACTCGACTAGACTTAATGTCAAGAAAAAAACCTTTACCTTTATAATATCCATTAGATTTGTCTGCCAAATATATATTTAATTACTTAATCACAAATCTTTCTGTGTAATAAGGATTGTAACTATTCATTTCATGTTCTAGAGAGAGGACTGTTAAATGTGACATCTTATATGGGATTTCTTAAAATAATGTTGGTGTAATAAATTTTCACATATCTAGCATTCAGGCTATGAGTGCTATGTGCATCTACATTGTAGGATTATCCGTTTGGCACCACTTTACCTGGCATGGATAAATGCTATGGAATTATGGCGGCTGTAGTTTGTTGAAGCATCAGTATTCTTTGGCAGAGAAGTTTGAAGACCTTGTAAAATTACAGCTCCTGGAACTCCATAATATTGAGTCATGGAAGTTAAAGTGGTTTAAAACTGCATTGATTCTACAGTGTAGATTCACCCTAAATTACAATGTTTACATAGATGTACAAATGAGGCGGAGCCCCCTGTGGCGCAGTGGGTTAAACCACTGAACTGCTAAACTTGTTGACCAAAAGGTCGCAGGTTCGAATCCGAGGAGCGGCATGAGCTTCCACTGTCAGCCCCAGCTTCTGCCAACCTAGCAGTTCGAAAACATGCAAATGAGAGTAGATCAATAGGTACCACTCAGGCAGGAAGGTAACGGCGCTCCATGCAGTCATGCTGGCCACATGACCTTGGAGGTGTCTATGGACAACGCCAGCTCTTTGGCTTAGAAAGGGAGATGAGCACCAACCCCCAGTCGGACACAACTGGACTCTATGTCAGGGGAAAAACTTTACCTTTACAAATAAGGCATCAGAATTTTTTGAAGAAACACCGCTACTTGCAGGGGTACAAACAAATACATTAGAGAATTGTAAAAGGGGTGAAGGAGGTGGAAAATCCCTCCAAGCAGCTATGCGAGGACTAAATGTACCATATTTGCTGATCACTGAGTACTAGTCTGTTGTGGTGTAATGATATTACATGGAAGAGGAACTGCAACACTGAATGCTACAATTGTTTCCTGCAACCCTCATTGTTTGTTAATTGTTGCTTCCCTATTTATGTCCACTGTATGCGGATTTAGGGACTTTGGTAGGAAAGCAAGAAACAAATCAGCAAACTTTGGGGTCTCACCTCGAAATAAAATCAACCTCCAAGAGGCCCCTAAGAAAAGAAAAACTCCTGAGGTTGAAATTTGGAATTTGAGACAAGGCTTTTAGGATCAAAAGATGCCACTTCCAGGCTTAAACCTCTAATTCAGGTATCCACTAACCAACCAATTCAAAAGGCAAAGGGTCCAAGGCACCTTTTTCTCTGAATCAGCATGAGTTCAGTTTTTTTTCCTAGTCACATGTCCTGTTTATATCTGAGAAAGTGCAATAAAAGAGTAATTTTACAACAGAGGCAACTCCCTAGCAGATTCTCTTTCCTTATGCACTAAGGGCTGGATGGAAGTGTGTGTCTTTACCCATGTATGCCACCAACACAGTTTTATGGGTGTGTGTTTGTGTCTGAAATCAACAACTGACCTACGTTTCTTTCTTCCTTATTAGTGTCATTGAGAGTCACAAGGTACCATAAGAAAAATGGGCTATCAGTGGTTCTCAACCTGTGGGTCACCAGGTGTTTTGGTCCACACCTCCCAGAAATCCCAACCAGTTTATCAGCTGTTAGGATTTCTGGGAGTCGAAGGCCAAAAGCATCTGGGGACTCACAGGTTGAGAATCACTGAGCTATATCATTGATAGTGAACCTTTTAGAGACTGAGTGTCCAAACCAGATAGGGTTAGGCGGGGGGTTGGGCACATTGGGGGCAGCAAGCAAGAGGGGTCAGTGGGTTGAGTGAGTGGGCGTGTGAGTGAGCGAGCAAGGGGATGGGGAAGTGGGGGGAGGATGGCAAGCTGGGGGAAGTTGAGGGGCTAGTGGGGGGAGGAATAGATGGAAGCCCCCCAAAGCTGTACTACTAAATCAACAGGCCTAGGATACTCCTAGAAAGATGGTTACAAGTATTACTTAGGACCCTTCTACACAGGCTTATAACCCACAACGAATCACAGGTTTACCTGAGGTGTCCAAACCCAAATTAATCTGGAGTAAACTGGAATGTTGTTGTTTTTGTTCATTGGTTTTGAGGAAGGTGTGGGGACTAAATTCCAGGAGGAACTGGGATTAAATATCCCAATTCCTCCCAGGATTTAGTCCTGTCTGGAAGGGTCCTTAGCAATTCCAAACTATTTGAGGGAACTTGAAAATGCTATCTTTCTAGATTACAAATCCCTGGATTATTCATTCAGTCGTTTCTGACGCTTCATGACCTCATGGACCAGCCCACGGCAGAGCTCCCTGTTGACCGTCACCATCCCCAGCTCCTTCAAGGTCAATCCAGTCACTTCAAGGATGCCATCCATCCATCTTGCCCTTGGTCGACCCCTCTTCCTTTTCCCTTCCATTTTCTCGAGCATAATTGTCTTCTCTAAGCTTTCCTTTCTTCTCATGATGTGGCCAAAGTACTTCATCTTTGCCTCTACTATCCTTCCCTCCTGTGAGCAGTCAGGCTTTATTTCCTGAACTGGAATTTACTCCAGATTAATTTGACACCTGGAAAGATCCGGATCTTAATATGAGGTCTGTATCTTTCCAGGTGTGAACCTGTGGGGATTAACTCCCCATTGCCATTCTGGTTCTTTGTGCTCTCACTCTCCCCTCCCATTTTGCCCCAAAAATTTACCTCTGATTGATGCAGGAGAGCATGTAGCCACGCATCCCTCCAAGAGAAGGTGCAGGTTTTGAGGAACATGTGGGGACTAAATTCCAGGAGTAACTGGGATTAAATATCCCAATTCCTCCCAGGAATTAGTCCTGTCTGGAAGGGTCCTTAGCAATTCTAAACTATTTGAGGGAACTTGAAAATGCTATCTTTCTACATTACAAATCCCTGGATTATTCAGACAGCACAGCCACTTTGAATGTTGATGGTACATTCTGGGAATTGTAATGATAAAAAAGAAATTTCCTCTCGGTTCTGACATTTAGGGTACAATGCTTTTACTTCTTAGTTCTTTGAAATAATACCTTCCAATGAGTTATTTGTAATTACTTTCTCTTTGCAGAAATTAAGACATACTAAGTAGACTAAATATAATCAAGGCCCTGGATCCCACCTGATCTCGGAAGCTAAGCAAAATGATCTCTGCTTAGTACTTGGATGAGAGTCTGCCAATGAATACTATTAAAAATAATAATTAATGGTAATAATTTTATTTCTTACCCACCTCTTCTCATGTCTCAATGTGGGTTACAACATTGCTAGAATACACAATCATTCAAAAACACTCCATAGAATACATGTATTAAAATCTATTTCCATAAAATAAATAGTTATTTATATATTTACTCTATTTGTTTCCTGCCTTTCTCTACACCGGAGGGAACTCAAGACAGCTTTACATATTAAAATACACATAACAAAAGTTAGAAGTTTAAATTTGTCATTAAAAACTCATTTCAGCTATAGTACCTACTTAATAAAGCATAATAGCTTTTAATAAATTTATGGTTGGATAGGTAATGAGACCACTATGAACAATATTGCTAGTGATCAGAAAAACATTGTGGTTACACTACACAAATACAGCTAAATGAAGGCTATCATGCACTTCCATTTACAAAATAATGCCATATATATATATATATATATATATATATATTGATATATATATATATATATATATATATATTCACAAGAAAGGCCCATTGCTTTTAATAGAGCTAATTCCAAAAGTAAAGAAGTGTAGGACTGCAGTTGGGAGAGAAAGAGAATTCTGTCAGTGGCATCACTAAGATCCCTTCCACACAGCTCTATATCCCAGAATATCAAGGCAGAAAATCCCACAATATCTGATTTGAACCGGGTTATCTGAGTCCACACTCAGATAATGTGGGATTTCCTGCCTTGATTTTCTGGGATATAGGGCTGTGTGGAAGGGCCCCAAAGTTGGTGTCACCTGGGGTGGTAACTCTTGGCCCTTTCTCACTGCCATATAACCCAGAATATCAAGACAGACAATCCACAATATCTCCTTTGAACTGGATTATCTGAGTCCACACTGCTATATAATCTGGTTCAATTGTGGATTTTATACAGCTGTGTGAAAGGGGCCATGGAGTCATCCTATGCACTTCCTCCCTGACTGGAACACAGTATTGTAGCTAAAATGCCAAAAAAAATTGACAAAATCATCATCAGCAAAAAACAACAGCTTGTGCTTGTAACATGCACAGGTAGGTCATAATGACATATCTGACTGGAGCACATGCAGACTGGAAGGTTCAAAAGGTAAATGATCATTGACTTTTAGCCTTGTAGATATATTGATAGAGTACATCTAAGCTGAGTTGATGATAAACATTCTGGTTGTTGCTTGGTTGGGAAAAAATGATTCAAAACTCGTTTCGGATGTAGGGGGCACTGGTGGTTTGATTCTAAAGTCAATTAGAATTTTCACAGAAAAAAAATTCAAAACTTTTCAAAACTTCCGAGACTTCAGAATTCTTTCATTAATGGTTTGAAAGTAAAAAACACTGTTTTTTTTTTTTACTTTGAAAGTAGTTGTTTTACTCCAGAACTGGGGAAAAGCAAGCGGAGGAAATTCCTTCCTTCTCTGGTTTAAAACTGGCTTCTCAGGCTTGAACCGAGGCCAGGAAATTCCTTCCTTCTCTGGTTTAAAACTGGCTTCTCTGGCTTGATCCGAGATCAGGCACCAGAAGCGGGAAAAGCTGAATCATTTCCGACTCACTTCCTGAATTGTAACAAAAATGGTGGAAAAAGCTTCGGAAGGGCAAAGGGAGCGACTCTATCCATGCCTACTAATTACCATAGTTTTTAAGCACCGCCTTTTCCCAGTCTTAAGAACTATTATGTAAACATTTATTTTAACATTTATATAGCCAAAAGAGCAATTATACAGACCAATTTAAAAACCAAAGAGACAATCATCCTGAATACAAGAGGAAACATACGGTAATCTCCTTATTTACTGCTGGTAAATTGCAAACAGAGACTAGATAGGAAAGCAAGCAGGTTGACATTCTAGAGAGTTATGCGAAATGTTGATCAGATTTACCTGACTGATGCATCATGGCACACATGGAAATCATGGTTCTTGGAAAGGCAGTTGGGCTAAAAATGGTCCACATTTGCATTAGCGATTGTATTACTGCTCCAGTCTTTCCCCAGAATCGAGACTTCATACAATCTGGGGGAAAAGGCAGAAGAATTAGATGGGAAAAGAAGATTTTAGAACTAAAATTTGAGAGAATGCTTCTGAAACATGGCCATACAGTCTGGAAAACTCATAGCAATCCAGAACTAAAATAATTACATGAGGAAATTGTCTGGATATTCTGTTAATACACTAAATGTGGTGAGAATGGACATGCTACTTTCTTCTTTTTTCTTTTTCTTGGTAATGTCCAACGGAAATCAGCAGAACTTATAAAGAAGCTAATATATAGAGGAACAGTACAGTATATTTAAGGCTCTCTGGTGGCACAGCAGGTTAAACCATTAAGCTGCTGAACTTGCTGACTGAAAGATTGGTGGTTTGAATCTAGGGAGTAGGGTGAGCTCCCGCTGTTAAGCTCAGCTTCTGCTAACCTAGTAGTTCAAAAGCATACAAATGTGAGTAGATCAATAGGAACTGCTTCTGCGGGAAGATAATGGCACTCCATGCAGTCATGTTGGCTCCAACAGTGTTCACATTTGATCCAGTTCCATCATTGTTTGAGTCCACAATGCTTTCTGGATGTAGGTGAACTACAACTCCAAAACTCAAGGTTGATGCCCACCAAACCCTTCCAGTATTTTCTGTTGGTCATGGGAGTTCTGTGTACCAAGTTTGGTTCAATTCCATCACTGGTGGAGTTCAGAATGCTCTCTGATTTTAGATGAACTATAAATCCCAGCAACTACATCTCCCAAATGACAAAATCAGTCTCCCCCTCCCACAACCAGCATTCAAATTTGGGTGTATCAGGTATTTGTGCCAAATTTGGTCCAGTGACTGGAAATACATCCTGCATATCAGATATTTACATTACGATTTAGGACAGTAGCAAAACTACAGTTATGAAGTAGCAACAAAAATAATTTTATGGTTGGGGGTCACCATAACATAAGGAACTGTATTTAGGAGCCGTGGCATTAGGAAGGTTCAGAACCACCGCTCTTAACTCTCTAAAAAGTAACAGTTATGGAAAAATAACAAGCAGAGTTAAAAATAATGTAACAAGTTACTTCCTTTATCATTACAATAAGTAACAGAAATGAATTCATTTTTAAACACTGTAAAGTCAGGGGTATATATTGGTTTGTGTTCTAGACTGGAGTCAGGTAGCCAGCACCCGAGAACAACAACGAACAATGGAAGGCATTCATCTTTGTAATTTCTGTAAAGAACTTTTTATTAACTCAAGCTTGTGGTAACTCCTTAACTAAATATGGGATTCCTTATCAATTAAGAGCTGTTCTTTCTTTCTTAATGGGTATTAAATTGTGTTCTTGATTTTACTGTTTTCTCATAGGAAAATACATTATGTGTTTTAACAAGATGGTTTTTAGTCACCCGTATTGTGAGCTCCCTTAAGGATTTCCATTATAGAGGAAGGGGAGCTGGGTTGTAAATGCAATAAATAAATAAATGACCACCGACTGGGAGAGACTCAGGTTTAAACAAACAGGTCTGACACTGTCACAAGAAATCTGACTCTGCGCCGTGAACACAGTCCATTGGGAAATGGACCTGTCACACTGAATAAGGACATCCAAAGTAAAAAAACTGGGGCTGCATAAAAGAACAACGAAATATTATACACTTCGATCACATTTTGCAATCTAGTCCACTGGATGGTTGTGTTTCTTTCCTGTGACAAGAACATGCTTTGTTTGGTCAGATTTCCACACTTAGGTTTAATTTTCCAGAAAAAAGGATTCTTTTTTTTGCAAAGGATAGTTGTGGAAAGGAACTGGTAAGTCTAAAGCTTGGGGAAGGTCCTTTGTTAGATGGCTGAAATATGCCTAGTTTAGTGTTTCTCAACCTGGGGGTTGGGACCCCTGGGGGGGTCGTGAGGGGGTTTCAGAGGGGTCGCCAAAGACCATCAGAAAACACATATTTCTGATGGTCTCAGGAACCCTTTTGGCAGTGATGGCTGAAGATCTCTCTGCCTGTCCTTATCCTTGTTGGTGTTGGTCAATGACAACTCCCAGAATTCAAAAACAGCCCCCCCAACCCCACCAGTAGTTAATGTTGGCCATGTCGGTAGTGTCCCAAGTTTGGTGCAGATCCATTTTGGGCTGGATTCAGAGTGCTATTTGATTATAGGTTAACTGCCATGCTGGAAGAAGCAAAGACCACCAGCACTGAAGCGATGGTCCTCCACCATCAACTCCGCTGGACCGGCCACGTTGTCCGGATGCCCGACCACCGTCTCCCAAAGCAGTTGCTCTACTCCGAACTCAAGAATGGAAAGCGGAATGTTGGTGGACAGGAAAAGAGATTTAAAGATGGGCTCAAAGCCAACCTTAAAAACTCTGGCATAGACACTGAGAACTGGGAAGCCCTGGCCCTTGACCGCTCCAGCTGGAGGTCAGCTGTGACCAGCAGTGCTGCAGAATTTGAAGAGGCACAAATGGAGGGTGAAAGGGAGAAGCATGCCAAGAGGAAGGCGTGTCAAACCAACCCTGACCAAGACCGCCTTCCACCTGGAAACTAATGCCCTCACTGTGGAAGAAGATGCAGAGCAAGAATAGGGCTCCACAGACACATACGGACCCACAAGAATACTGGAAGACAATCATCCTCGGAAAACGAGGGACCACCTAAGTAAGTAAGTAATAGGTTAACGATCAATCCCAGCAATTACAACTCCCAAATGTCAAGGTCTGTTTTCCCCAAACTCCACCAGTGATCACATTTGGGCATATTGAGTATTCATGCCAAGTTTGGTCCAGATCCATCATTGTTTAAGTCCACAGTGCTCTCTGGATGTAGGTGAACTACAACTCGCAAACTCAAGATCAATGCCTAACAAATCCTTCCAGTACTTTCTCTTGGTCTTGGGAGTTCTGTGTGCCAAATTTGATTCTTTTGTTGGTGGAGTTCAGAATGCTCTTTGATTATAGGTTAACTATAAATCCCAGCAACTACAACTCCCAAATGACAAAATGAATCCCCCCCGCCCCAACCCAAAGTTTTCAAATTTGGGCATATTGGCTATTTGTGTCAAATTTGGTCCAGTGAATGAGAATACATCCTGCATATCAGATATTTACATTACGATTCGTAACAGTAGCAAAAATACAATTACGAAGTACCAATGGAAATAATGTTATGGTTGGGGTCACCAACACATGAGGAACTGCATTAAGAGGTCACGGCATTAGGAAGGTTGAGAACCACTGGCCTAGCTTCTCCTCTGTTTTGTGGTATAGAAACCACTCCCTATTCTTTCCCTGATATTTTTGCCTCTGGCACCAAATGTTCTGTTACAGAAGTAATTGCTGGGAACACACCTATTCATTACCCAAGGTATTCCTGTGCCTGACTGTACTAACATGAATACACCATCTTTTCTGTAGGCACCGCTTGATCTAGAGTACACTAGATCCAACTTCTGTTGGCTAGTTCCAACTTGAGAAGGGTTGTTGAATCAGTTGTTAAAATGGTGAGTCATGATATGGGCAAATCCAATTCCTTCAAGGGATTTACTCCAGTAATAAAGACTAACAATATGATTTCAGCCTTAGTAATGCTTCAGCTAGCTTCCTATGGTAGTTTAAGGGCCTATATGCTATTATTCCTCTAGCTGTCATGACAACAGTCTGTGGAATTCTGGGGTAATAGTTTAGCGAAGCCCAATAATATTAATAATCATCATAATCATCATCTCAATAATAATTGAGAGCAAAATTGACAAAGAAAAGACATGGCTGTGGCTCACAAATGGAACTTTGAAAAAGGAGACGGAGGGCCTGATTCTGGCAGCCCAAGAACAAGCCATTTGAACCAATGCCATCAAAGCCAGGATTGAAAAGTTTGGCAACAGATCTCAAATGTAGACTCTGCAAGAAAGCAGATGAAACAATAGATCACATCCTCAGCTGCTGCAAGAAGATTGCGCAGACAGACTACAAGCAGAGGCATAACACCATTGCTCAGAGGATTCATTGGAACTTGTGCCACAAATACCATCTGCCTGCGACAAAGAACTGGTGGGATCACAAGCTGGAAAAAGTTACAGAGAATGAACACGCCAAACTCCTCTGGGACTTACGGATTCAGACAGACAGAGTTTTGGAGCATAATACTCTGACCTCACAATCGGGTTAAAAAACGAAGTATGGATAGTCGATGTCACAGTCGCAGATGACAGCAGGATTGCAGAGAAACAACTGGAAAAACTGACACAATATGAGGATTTAAAGATCAAACTGCAAGGACTCTGGCACAAACCAGTAAAGGTGGTCCCAGTTGTGATCGGCACACTTTGTGCAGTGCCTAACAACCTTGGCCTGCACTTAAACACAATTGGCGCTGACAAAATTACCATCTGCCAGTTGCAGAAGGCCACCTTACTTGGATCTGCACATATTATTCGAAGATACATCACACAGTCCTAGACGCTTGGGAAGTGTCCGACATGTGATCCAATGCAACAGCCAGCAGAGTGTCTGCTGTGGACTCATCTTGTTGTGTTTCAAATAATACCTTTATTTATATACCGCTCTGTCTCCCCAAGGGGGACTCAGGGTGGTTTCCAAATAATATCACCGAAACAGAGAAGTAAACAGTATAACATAAAATTAACAAAACAACATAAGCATAAAATTATCACAATAACACATGCATATTAAAAATAATCCTGCCTGTTCAGCAATTAAAAAGCCAGACCATGGCTAGTGCAAACTCAAAATATGAGGGGGCCGGGAATTAAGTACAGTGCTATAACAGGCTAACGGCAATAGTAGGTATGGGTCTGTGGCTGCTCATTTCCAGGGCCTATTAGAGGGATGACTTGGTAATAGGTAAGAAGTGCAAGGCCATATTTAACAATGTTTGGGGCTGGACTAGAACAGGTCATTCTCAAAGGCTTGTTGAAACCACCAGGTCTTCAAGCTCTTACAAAAGGAGGGGAGGGATGGGACCTGTTTTATTTCCATTGGAAGGGTGTTCCAGAGGTGGGGGACCACCACCGAGAA